TCAATCTAACAAAGGAAGCAAAAGACCTCTACACTGAAAACTACAGCATTCTGAAGAAGGAGATCGAAGAGGATATAAGAAAATGGAAAGACATCCCTTGATCCTGGGTAGGAAGAACCAATATAGTGAAAATGGCAATACTTCCAAAACTGCTATATACATTTAATGCAATGCTGATTGAAATTCCAACAATATATTTCATAGAACTAGAGAAAACAATCCAAAAATTCATTTAGAACCAGAAGAGACCTAGAATAGCAAAAGCAATCCTAGGCAACTGAGACATGGCAGAGGTTATCACAATCCCAAACTTGAAACTATACTACAAAGCTACTATGAGAAAAATAGCATGGTACTGGCAAAGAAGCAGACCCAAGGATCATTGGAATAGATTAGAAGATGCAGAAACAACCCCAGACACACTCACCCACCTCATCTTTGACAAAGGAGCCAACTACCCTCATTGGAGGAAAGATAGCCTATTTAATAAATGGTGTTGGACAAACCGGATTTCAACCTGCCAAAGATTAAAACTAGACCCATACCTATCACCATACACTAATCTAAGATCAAAGTGGATTAAAGATCTAAATATTAAAACAAACACTAAACTTGCTGGAAGATAAGTTAGGTAGAACTCCTGAAGACATTGACAGAGGAAAAAACTTTATGAACAAAATCTCAGTAGCATGAGAACTAACACAAAGAATCAACAACTGGGATCTCTCATCTTATTAAAAAGTTTCTGCACTGCAAGAAAAACCACCAACAGAGCTAAGAGACAACCTACAATGTGGGGAAAAAGTTTTAGCAGCTGTACCTCAGACAAAGGACTATTATCTAGAATATATAAAAAACTTAAAAAATCAGTCCCCCCAAATTTAATGACCCAATTCAAAAATGGGCCTCTGAAATGAGCAGACATTTCTCAGACAGAGAAATAAAAGCAGGAAATAAACATATGCAAAAATGTTCAACATCACTGGTCATTGGAGAGATGCAGATGAAAACAACACTGAGATTCCACCTCACTCCAGAAAGAATGGCTGCTATCAACAAATCAACCAATAACAAATGCTGGCGGGGCTGTGGGGAGAAAGGAACCCTTCTCCATTGCTGGTGGGAGTACAGACTGGTGAAACCACTGTGGAAAACAGAATGGCGATACCTCAAAGAACTAGGACTGGAAGTCCCATTTGATCCAGCTATTCCCCTGCTGGGTATCTTCTCAAAAGAATTAAAAGAATCATAGCACAGCAATATATGTACACCCATGTTTATAGCAGCACAGTTTGTAATAGCTAAAGCTTGGAAACAGCCCAAGTGCTTATCAACTGGAAACGGGATAAAGAAGATGTGGGTTTTTTTTTATAAAATAGAGTACTACTCAGCCATAAAAACTGAGAAACTAGAGACATTTATAGCTACACAAGTGCATATAGAGGCCATACTCTTAAGTGAAATAAATAGGACACACACGTGTAAATACTGAATAATTTCTGTGGTGTGAGAAACTGAAAGTGTAAATAAGGATTAAAATGATTAAAACAAATAATAGTTAATTTGAAATAGGAATAAAAGGTCCAAAGGGGTAGGGGAAGTGGGAGGGGCAGGGGAAAGGAAAGAAGGGAAAGGAAAAATTATGAGAAAAGGAAAAAATGGAAACAAAGTCTTTGTAAATAGGGAAGGGTGGAGGGGGTGAAGGGAGGACAGGGAATGGGGAAAAAATAAGAACCAAGATGCATCATGTACAGGTACAAGCACCCAATGATAAATGTAACTGTATTGTATACCTAAAATGTACCAATAAAAGAATTTAAGCTAAATAAATAAATAACCCAAGGCCAAGCAGGGAAAGAGCTCCTGGTTTAAATGCAAGGAAACCGGACACTGAGCATGTGACTGTACCAAGCCACCACCTCGGCCCTGCTCCATGTGTCAGGCAGCTGATGTTCCTGGGTCATTGTATAGGAAGATTGACTGTCCTAGCTCCCAGAGAAGGGCTAGGCCAGACAAAACCCTCACCTCCCACTCTGATGAAGAGGACTGGGAGCGTCCAGCGCAATCTGCAATGTCCCTGACCACAGACATCTCCATCTCCTAGGAAGAGCCCTGTGTGACCCTAGAGTAAGCAAATTCAATTGCTTGTCCATAAAGTAGCAGCATACTGTTTTAACTTCCTTCTCTGGAAACCCCTCTATAGCCATAATTTGAATTAAGGGGACCCTAGTCAGAGCTTCTTTACCCCTGCTCTGACATGTTAGTTCAAAAGTCAGTTGTTCAACCATGAGTTTTTAATTGTCCCACTGTGTCCTACTCTCTTACTGGGAAGAGATTTACTAACAAAACTAGGGGCAATTCTCCAATTCCAGCAAAAGCCAAAGTGGATATTACCTGTTGAGACCATGTCAGACCACCCTGGCCTAATAAGCCAACAAGTAGATTCTGCTGCATGCTATAATGGAATACCTGGGAGGGCAAATGTAACAATGTCAGTAGTAATAAAACTAGAAGATCCCAGGGCTGAAGATTTAGCTTAGTGGCACTGCGTCTGCCTCACAAGTGCAAAGTCCCCAGTACCAAAAGAAAAACAAAAAATAGAAGATCCCAGCCAATTTCCCTACCAAAAGCCCAATGAAGAGGCTTGTGAAAGCCTCCAGCCTCTCATAAAGAGGTTTCTCAAATATGGCCTTACAGGGCCTTGCCAGTCCCCTTGCATGCAATACTCCTCTTCTCCCTGTTGTAAAACCTTCAGGAAATTATAGGATGGTACAAGACTTCTGCCTCATTAACAAGGCTATAATTCCAATCCACCCTCTGGTGGCAGATCAATATAAAATTCTCTCAGTCTTAGACCTGAAAGATGCTCTCTTTTCTAGTCCCCTCCATCTAGAGTCCCAGTTTGTTTGCCTTTGAATGGGAAAATCCTGTTTCAAACGAAAAACAACAATATACTGGAACAGTTCTCCCACCAGGCTTTAGAGCTAGCACTGATCTTTTTGCTCAGGCACTGAGAAAGGATTTAACCTAGAGCTTAAACAGGGAACTGTTCTAGGTATATAGATTATATTCTAATCCACAGCTCATTGTAGGAGCTATCCAGGCCCTCAGTTTTGTAGCAAAGAAGGGATATAAAGTCTCAAAGGAAAAGGGTCAGATATCCCTTCAGAAAGTCCAATACTTGGGATACATTCTTAAACCCGGGGAATGAAAGCTGTCTAGAGACCATATCGAGGCTGTGATCTCAGGCATCCTATCACCAAATAACACTTTGGTTCCTTCCTAAGAGTGGCTGGCTTCTGCCAAATCTGGATGCCTCCTAATTTTGGACTAACGGCACAAAGCCTTTATATGAGGGTATCAAAGACCCTGAGAAAGAATGTTTTCAAGGCAGAAGAAAGGATGAAAGACAGTCCCAGCCTTATTTGCCTCCCAGATTTTATCAGGAAAAGAAAACCTTTTCCAGAAACACACCAAGACCCCAAGAAAGCTTCACCTTAAACATCACTGCCCAGCACTTGGTCATAGCTGCAAGGGAGGCTAGGAAATCTAATACCGACAAAATGGAATAGAACTTCACTTACTTTAACCAATATTGATTTCTCCCTCTCTCACTTACACACACCCCTCCTCAAGGTTACTCTTGCTGGGAGCCCCCATAGCACTCTAGGAGGGCAAATTGTCCCTTGTCATAGGCAAAATACATCAATGTACATCCCACAAGGCAGTTGCTGATTTTTCCCCAGCCCCCACTCCTTGCTAAGATTTCTAAAGTAACCATATTAGCCTTGCATCTTTACCACTTAGCATAGTGCCCAGCTTCATCCCTCCAGTGTTCTCTAAGAGACGAGACTACATGTACCATGCCTTCCGGCACTAAGTAGCCATGCAGTGGACATTTCCTGGATGCATGGATGGATGGCTGCTATCACTGACCAGTGGCTCCACCCTGAGCAATCTAAGCCTTCCATCTGTTTCCCCCCACACCAGGCTGTCATTTCACTCCCTTAAGAGGCTTTCCTTCCATGGTGCCATCAGATGGTCCCTTTCCATTCTTAGCCACTACTTGTCCTCCTCCTGGCACCCAGCATCTAGCTGATTCTTGAATCAATAGCAGTAAAGTGGGTGTGAACATCAGGAGACTGCTCATTACTTACCATTATACGAGTGTGTGCTTTCTCATTCCTCCCATACCTTTCCACATTCTCTCTCTCTCTCTCTCTCTCTCTCTCTCTCT